TTGTTTAATTTCTCCTTCTGTTTTTGCGCATGGATACTGCTCGTGTGTCTTGTATTTTTCAGAATTGACCTTCTTCTCGACATGCTGCTGATGGACACGTTTTGGGGAACTGAAAAGGATGCTAAGCTTTGAATAAAGAATCAGATGAATCTAGGAAAAGCTGCACTATCTTTAAAAAAAAAGAAAACTTTATTCCTTGTTGGTCATGCAGGTGAGACGATAACCTTTATTTTTCACTCTTTCCCAAAGCCTCTATTTAAACAAAAAATCTTATTATCCAGATTCATGGGTTTGTGATATCCAGATGAAAGAGCTTCTCAACGTTGTTCGGCAATCTTTATCAAATGGTGGGGATTAGTTTTTGCCCTCCCAATGAAGTGGCTCAGAATGAAGTGGCTCCAGAATCTGCTGTTGTAGACATATATTCGTACAGACCACAGTGCTGACATTAAATGTCTTTAGTGGTAGGCGGATAGTGGCTTATCGTCGGGCTAACCGTGGGAGGTCTTTCATGGTTTTCCTCACCATGTAACGCAAATGCGGGTTAGTTGCAACAAAGTCCTCCATGAAGGCTAGTTTGATCAAGGTGTTCCCTTGTCTTCTGGTTTCGTTTCAAATGTCTTGCGTTTCAATTCTTATGGAACTGAAGATTTATATTTGCGCACTAAACAAGCCTGTTTTTCAATCCTTGACTTTTGGAGAATTCTTGCTCCAAACCCTGCAAAAGCATGTAGAATTTTTTCAGCTTATTTATAAAATGTTAAACTCTACGATCGTATTTAGTGTTTACTTAGTTGTTATACTGACTTTCATTTGTTGTTGTTGTGTAATGGAAGATAATGTTAGAAAAAATATTTTTTAAACAAAAACTATTAAACATATTGTGTAAAATATTACCTAGTTTATGTAATTCCAGAGTCTACATGAAAAGTGTCCACAGTACCTGTTTTTTTACTGTTAGAAAGCTTTTGTGGCTAAGAGCAGACAAGCGATCGCAGAGTGAGGTTATATAAAGTGTGGCGTTTAGTATAATTTAAAAACAAAATGTGACTTTTTTTTTTCTAGAAAATTAGTTACGGAAAACTAGTTGTGTAAACATATTCGTGATTAATTGATACGAGCAGTGATTAATTTTCTATTAATATTGGTTAGAAATTTCTTAGATACCTTAAAGTCTTGAAAAACAAATTAAGCCTTTTGTAGGGAAATTTTTTAAATATTGAATTTGTCATTTTTAAAAGGGGTGTTCTTCACTTTGGATCCATTGGAGAAAACCCCTTTTCAAAATGATTTAATTCAATTTCTAAATTAGTCTAGAAAATTTTTAAATGTGTTATTTAATGTTAAGTAACTTTGATCAAAATTCCCTTTTATTTAAGTTATCAAGTAGATTTATAATTTCATAGAAAAACTTCCCGTATATTTCATAAATACATTTTACTTTGGCTTAAATTCATGAAATAAAATGTAATTTCAGATTATTGAAATTAGTTTAATTGCAATTTCTCCCTTAATTTCAAATGTTTCTGGAAATAAGATGTTTTTACGGAGTAAAATTTAAAGATCCATTCAGATTAATAAAATTAAAACCCCTGCTTCTAATTTCTTAAAACTTTTTATTTTAATACAGATTTATGCGAAACTGAACTATTTCATGGAAATTTTTTATCTGAATTTGCGAAAATACGAAATTCCAAATTTTAAATTAAATAACTCTTAAGACTTTGTTTGTATACACTGCGGGTTGAGAAAAATTTTATTTATTATATTTTTATATTAGATTCAATCCTTTAAAACAAACTTTCAGATTAACTGCTCTCAGTCACCGAAGCTTTTATTGTCCCTGTCAAAGTTTTTCAAACTTAGTATTTTATTCACTGTAATATATTTCTATTCTATGTAATATATTCTGTTCTCCATAAACTATTCTATGTAATATATTTGTATTGACCATAAGGGTTATAGCTGTGAAAAAGAAGAAAAATTGTATAAAATGTTTTTTTCCTTTCCATAATTTGCCACTTCAAACTTATCCAATTTAAATGGGTAGCTCATTTTGATATGGTGTTCTGTTGCATAACTTTGATATTGATATTGTATTGGAATTTTTCGCTATTGGATTACTGAAATTGTTCAACTTTGTAATTTGCCTTAAACTTTTTACATGATGTACAGATTAAATTTCCATTTTTAACTTTGTCTTGTAATATTTTAGTTTCGAATAAATGTGTTATACTTGAAATTTAGTTTTTGATTATTTTTTGGTTGACTATCTTTTTCCTAGGATTCATTTAAGGTTTTTATATTGAAATTTCCCGGAACATAATTAAACTAATGTTATTGTTTTCAGATTAAAAAAGGTCTGCGAAAAGTATACTTCTGTAGTTTCAACGCTGTACCGTGAGCAAAATTAACTATATCAAATTGAGTTTTTGTTCTAGATCGAATTTCCACGGAATCTTCATTGTTCGAAAGAATGACTTCAATAGTTAAGGGTCAGTTTCTGTAACTTCACTTGAGATGCATAAAACGTGATAAATAATTGGTTTTTAGCAGCTTTAATGTTCCTGTATAAAATACAGTCGGATTTAACGAACTTCCTTTTTACGAATTTCTCTATTTTACAAATTTTTGCGAGGAACTGAAGGGTGTTAAGTTAATACGACTATGTCAACCTTTATCTATTAAAAGGTACCTCGCGATAGAATCAAGTTAACATGTCTTATATACTAGTGATTTGTTATTTAATATTTGTAGTGGTAGTTACTCTATATTACTTCCCTTCCGGAATTTTATCTGTGATCATAATTCGATGAACTATTACCACTACTTGATTCATGCTGCTTTATTTATTTATTTATTTATTTATTTATTTATTTATATTCATTTTTGCTCATTATATTTTTTCATCGTAGCAATTCGCTCATGATTTTTTTCCCTTCATTTTTTTGTTTATAGCATTTCGCTAATGTTCTTTCTTATTTTATTTTTCTTCATTTTTTTACATCACATTTCGCTAATTTTTTTCCCTATATTGTTTATTACCGGGCAACTTTATCTACTTCACCGGATCCTTTTTTGAGCAGTTTATAAAGCAAATCAACTGTTTTAATATGGACCATCCATCATGTTAGCGAGTTCATATCACGTCCGGGTCACCATTGAAGGGAGTTTGGATAATACGACTATGTCAACCTTCATCTATCAAAAGGTACCTCACGATAGAATCAAGTTAACATGTCTTATATACTAGTGATTTGTTATTTAATATTTGTAGTGGTAGTTACGGCACAGAACCAGGAACATTTTTGGAAATTTCTTTGTAAATAAAATAACTTCCAAATAACGAAGTGAATTTTCTAATTAACGAACTTTTCATTGAGATCCACTTTCCCTATTTTCCGAAATATTTCTGAACACTTCAAACTTGTTAACGCATTTTATGGGGAAAATGACTTTGAATTAATTTTTGAAGCCACTGCTTTATGAAATGTATTAATGTTTTCTTTAAAATTTATCTTAAGGAAAGCAGTGACTTCTCTTTACCTTTTTGTTTGCATTTCAAATTAACTGATTCTATCTGTAGCAATTAAACTAAGAAGGCATGTTTATGTAATGTATGTTTAAAATCACTTTCATAATAAATGCGACTGTAATTTTATGCATGCCTTTTCTTAGTTGAACATGTCTATAGCATGATAGTGTAACACTGGATAATGTTTTGCACTATTCTTGCTTTTCATGCAGATTTCTTTTTATGGTTAGGATTTATAAAATAAAGAGTAGATAAAAGTGCATTAATTGAATTATGTCTAGTGTTTTATGAATTTAAAACCTGTTTAAGTATTTTGAAAGGTGATTTTCCATTTAATGAATTTTCTATATAACGAACTTATTATCTGGATTTAGTGACTTCGTTAAATAGAGGTTTGACTGTATTTCTATTTACGAAAATTCTTAAAATATTTCTATTTACGAGTTGCTGTATAAAAGTTTCTATTATAAGAAGAAAAAGAATAATCATGCTTAATAAATAATATGCACAATACCAAGTTAGCACCAGGGACCGATCAAGACAAATTCTGGCCCCAGGCCCACAAAATTTTCAGGGCCCCTAACAAAATATTTTGAAATCAAATTTCTGGAGAGCAGTTCTAACTATAAAAAAAATCTATTGAACTGCATGATTCAAGAGAAACATTCTAAAAAATTTTGAAAGTAGACAATTAAAGATTATTTTTCTAAGATAAAGTTTAAACATGTAATTATTAAAGCAAAATACAAAGCAACAAAACAATGTTGTATGAAAATAAAAATAGTTTGGTGACCACCAGCAATTGAAATCAGTGATTTTCATAGCTTAAGTCACTGATTAGCTGAATTATTTTAAAGATTGCAGCCTTCCATCTACAGCTTTACATATTTATTAAGAATAAGCTTTTAGTTCTTGTTGACACTAATAATTTATAAGTGACTTTGCGAATATGCATTCCAGTTGCATATGCTTAAGCCATTGGAGTAAAGATTGCACCAATTAAAATTCAGATGTACTTTCGAAATTGATTAGTGCAATGTTTACACGAGTTTGGTTTATCACAATATAAAGAAAATTTGAAATAAAAAATGCCTTTTTTGAGATAAACTGTTTCGTTCAGTATTTTTTTTAATGAAATATTGTGGATTTTTTACTAATTTTTGAGGCCCCCAGAAAGTGTGGGCCCTAGGCCCGTGCCTATTGGGCCTAGCCGATAATCAGGCCCTGGTTAGCACAATAAAAAGTACATTAAAGTTTTTTTTCCCATTCACATTCTTCTTGACGAAGAAATCTTAAGAATTGCTCTTTTTAAGAAAGTAGCAGCATTGAAAAAGTAAAGCTAAAAGAGCTTTGAGAGAATTTATCAAAATAAAGGTCAAATAATATATTTCAAATGCACATACTTTTGTTTTTTAAATATGAAAGATATCTAATAATTAATGCTTTCATTTTAGTTACCCTTCGTTGGCAATTTTTGTATTTCATTCTAAGAAATTATATTTTGAACTGAAGTATCTTTTTTCTATTTACATAAAAAAAATAGGAATTTGAAATTTTTTCCTTAAATGTCTATTTGTGTAAAAATACGCTTAAATGTTACTACAATAGATGGCACTAAAAAATTTAAAAACTTTTTTTAGATTTTTTTAAAATTTTTAATAATGAGTGCTGCCATCTGTTGGATAAATAGATCTGCTAGAAATTCAAAAAGGATTCCCATTCTCTCGAGTGATTAAAATCCTTTTTCTAAACGTATAATTTAGGCAGTTTAATTTCATTACATTATACAGTTACGCTAATTTTTGAATATTTCAATGATATAATTTTAAATTATTAGTTGTAGTCAAATTTTTTTAGCAATCTGTGAAAAATGTTTTTATTTATTTATATTTTTCAAATCTGGCAAGTTTTAAAGTTGAATTTTTGATAGTTGACATTTTTGATTCCGTTGAAATTATTGGAATTAGAATTATTGTTAAGCGAAATAATCTTTACATAAATTTTTGTTTAATTTTGCGACAGTTTTTTTCCTCCTCCAAAGATTTGGTAAAGTAAAAAGATTGCACGGAAAGCATTTAATTTACATATAGAAATATTATATTTCGTGTAAAAAATATTGTGAATTCTAGTATTTCCATATTTATTTGTATTATAATTAGCGTTGAACGGTCGATCCTATTCTGAATTTATGGCTATCAATATTCAACTCCGCAGGCATGTCATTTTAAACCCAACACAGAAGACAAACTACGATGCATTGGAACAAACCAGTTGCTACGTTCCATGATATAGACGGTTTTAAAAATCGGTATATGTATTTAGTTTGAGATAGAAATTTCAAAATTATTACAAAAAAAAAATGAAGAAAATCAGTCGAAGACAGGAAAAAGTTCCTACTATCCAACTTCTCCTTTTTTTGGTTCACTATATACACAAAAAATATGATACGTGTTATTTTTCGTGTCAAGGCATAGGGGCTAACATTTCGTTCACTATATCCGGGAGTTGACTAAAAACAGTGTTCACTATAGCGGGGTTGGACTTGTTTATGGTGCACAACTTCAAAAATTAACGAATTTTGGAAATCTTAAATTTTTTAGAAAGAAGTCAGTATAGTTTCTTGTACAATTTTAATGCTGAATTGAATAAAATCATTTGCAAATAAAAACATTTATAGTTGAAAGTTATAAGCATTTTTTTGAATTTCATCCAATGGGATGCGTTTTTATATTTAAACAAATGTTTGTAACAACTAACTAATAGTTTTATTCTGCTCGGAATTATAAGTTATAAAGGAGATATTATACTCAACTTCTTTTAAAAGTATTATTTCAAATCATTCTCTCTTAGCCATTTTCCTCAAATAAAATTGCTCACAACTTTAAAATAAATGCTCTTTATCAGCATGTAATTAGTTATATTCGATTGAGTGTAAAAAAAAAAGAATAAAAATTGATACATAACTTTAAAATTTTAATTTATTGAATGATTGTTGATTCTTGATTAAAAAATATTAAAATAACTATTTTTAAGAAACTCTGATGGGATTGACAATAACGGAAGTCCTTTTCAGAATCAGCGTCAAAAATTTATAAAACAAGCTATTAGTTTCATGAAGTCTGACAAACAGTTTAAAAATATAGACTAGGTTTATTAAGTTTAAAGATTTGCAAGAAGAAAAAAAAAAGAAAATCTAATTATCTCAGGATCGACACAATTTCGTTCAAATTTTGGATTTATTTTTACATTAAAATACATCAAATCATCACATTTTACATCAAAATTATTAAAAAAATATATATATATTTTTTTTTTTGGTTGGAATTACTTTTTGAATAAACGAATTTTATAATTGAGTGCAAAATTTTTTCGATTTGCTTAAAAAGTTCTGGAGATATGGTGCAAAAATTAATATTAAAAGGTCCAAATTACTTCCCAGATCGCGGCTTCATTTTGAGTCTTTGGACAAACGAATTTTATAATTGAGTGCAAAGAGTTTTAAATTCGCTTAAAAAGTTCTAGAGATAAGAGTGAATTACGTAAAAGTAACATTTAGGGGTTCAATCTTTAGTCCGCTCTCCCCACCAAACTATTAAAACCATATTTCCCAAATTGCTACTACCCCCTAAATTTTGGGGGATAGATATCTTTTTGTATTGCATTGCACTAATTAGCATATTTGAGGTCAGAATTTCAAACCGTTTTAGTCAAGTAAACGAAAAGTCAATAATTAGATCAAAAGTTTTACAGGGAGTTTTTTTTTTAATATTATTTTGCGCACTGTACAACAGAAATATAAAAGCTTTAATTAAAATGACAGGGTGCGTAGCCAAATTTTTCAATAAAAAATAAGCACCCTAAGCACTCAAAAAATATTTTTAAGCACTTTGAAAAATATCATAATTAGACAGGGTAGGCAAGTTTTTGACAATTGATGGTATTATTTACGGAGGGCGCGTCACAAAAGATGAAATTAACAAGAGAAATGAAATTTTCTTTCACTAATAGAGAAAAAAAATTGACAATAAAGTTGGTCCCCGTAATTAGCAAAAATTCGAGAGAGATTTCGATTCTATTACAGAGGGCGGAAAAGGAAGTCTGAAATTGAGAATCTCTTACAAAATGCAGCAGGGATGCACACGAGAGTCAAAAATCCTTACCACTGAATCCAGCTCAGTTTACGCAAGAGCGGACCCCCCAAGCATTTCATCAAACATGTAAAACAAATGGTGTTTTCATACACTACAGACCGGCGGTAAGCCAAAATAGATTGAGGTTGAATTAATTGTAAAAACGTTGGACAATGTCTTTTTGCATAATTTGAGGCGAAAATGATCATGGTAAAGAAAAATATCACATTTAGGAAAAGGGATAATTAAGCACTTTTTAAAAACACCCATGGAAAAAAGCACTTTTAAAAAACCGAAAATAAGCACCTTTAAGCACTTTTTAAAAACGCTACGCACCCTGAATGAGAAAAAAAACCACTTACTTGAAGGAATTACGCTAAGCGTTCACGGGGAAAAACTGTGTTTTGGCGAATATTTTTTACCCAAAAGAAAAATATATATTCTCTATCTTTTTTTTAAAAAAAAAAAAACAATTTTTTTATCAAATTCTATAATTTCCGTTGGATACATCGTCGAATATCACGTGATTTCCAAACAGGTTGTCATCCAATTATTTTTGCAGAAAATATATTTTCTTGTGAGAAAAACAATAATTTTGCTTCAGGCTTATCCTTATATTACTATTCTAACCTATGAAGTTATTATCAGGGTATCTGAGCAGCTGGAAAGTCATAAATCTGTCATGATTTTAAATATATATTTTTTAAAAAATCATGGATTTAGTTCGCCGAAAAATCTAATCCCCCCCCCCTCCTAATTTCACAGAGTTCCGAATATCTGAGTTAGTAACAAAATCCTTACTCACAGTCATATTTTATTAAAATATAAAATACTTTTATCCTGTTCCTTAAAAATTATGTTTTTTCAAAAAATGAAAGAATGATCATTTCTAGAGCATTCTTTTAAATTTATGTTTTATACTTCCATGATTTCAGGATTATTTTATTTATTTATTATTTTATCAATTTAAAATTCTAGTTTAGGCTTTTTATATTACACTTTTACGAAGAAATAAAACAACTTTAAATAGCTACACATACATCTGACAGTATTTAGTTATTTGCAACTCTTTCTTTACTCTGTTTTTTTAAGTTTAAAATCGATAAATATAAATATGAGGATGCACAGTATAACAGTTTTGGTTACATCTATTATTTCATTTAATCTTACTGTAATGCTTTTTAGTGTTGTGTTTTTGTGGGATAAAATAGTGAAAAATTATTGGAATTATTCATGGATTTTAAAATCTAAATTGTAGCAGATATACCTTGCATTAAATAATCAACCCAAACCTTCTTTCGTTTCCTTAAAGACAACATTTTTCATCCTCTCATTCATTCCACCAACTCTTGATTTGAATTTGTATTTTATAAAATGATTCAATTTATAGTAAATTTGTATTTTGATTTTAAGTTTTCTATGGGGGAAACAATCAATCATAATTATTAAGATTGGCCTTTGACTAAGAATTTTGAAATTTGGCTAATACTTTAAAAGTGTTTGGCAAATTTACTGGCACTGAATTGAGTGAGGATACAAAACTATTTTACATTGTTTTATTCACACAAAACCAAGTTAAAACACTATGAATAAAATACACCATGAGAAGTTTTTAAAAAATGATTTCAAATGACTAGATATTCACAAATGTTTGACACTATGAAAGAACCAGTCCAATTTCGTAGTCCATGCACCCCCATAAGCTTCAAAGAATTGATTCTGAAAATATTCGAGAGCTTCCTTTTCAGTTTTCTCAACCTGCAGAGTCTTCCGCAAGTAGCCGACGTCGTCGATGGATTGTAACTCTGGTATTCCGGTGGAGAGCATCATGAGGAACAGCGTAATTAACAAATGAGCATGCCGTTTCAACATGAGATAGGCTTTGCCACAAAGCTGCTGGAATCTGAAATTTTTAATTACAAGAATTAAATTTGTTTTCTTACAAAGTATAACCTCCAAGTCTAAAGTATTTTATTTAAAACTTAATTTTTTTTAAAAAAATTAAGATAGGTGTGGAGAAAATACAGTCGGACCTCTATTTAACAAAGTCGCTAAATCCGGATAACAAGTTCGTTATATAGAAAATTCGTTAAATAGAAAATCACCTTTTGAAATACTTAAACAACACAAAACGGGTTTTAAATTCATAAGCACTAAACATAATTAAAATAGTAATTAATACACATTTATCTAGTAAACTAGTATCTACTCTTTATTTTATAAATCCTAACTATAAAAGAAATCTGCATGGAAAGCAAGAATAGAGCAAAACATTATCCAGTGTAACACTATCATGCTACATACATTTTCAGCTAAAAAAAGGCTAAATTTATGCATAAAATTACAGTTGCATTTATTAAAGTAATATTAAACATGCATTACCACATGCATTCATAAGTTTAATGGCTACTGATAAAATCCGTTAATTTTGTCTGAGTTTTTCGTTTGAAATGCAAGCAAAAAGGGGAAAGAATTTTAATGCTTTCTCTAAAAGTTAAGTGGCTTCAAAAATCAATTCAATGGTATTTCACCCATAAAATGCATTAACAAGTTTGAAATGTTCTGAAATATTTTTTGGAAATAGGGAAAGTGGATCTCAAAGAAAAGTTCGTTCAATAGAAAATTCAGTTCACTATTTGGAAGTATATTTTGTTTTATGAAGAAATTTCAAAAATGTTCTTGGTTCCTCGAAAAAATTCGCAAAATAGAGAAATTCGTTAAAGGGAAGTTCCTTAAATAGAAGTTAGACTGTAACATGTTTAGCTTGTAGAATATAATGTTTTTATTAAATAAAAAATGTTTCAATATAGTTGTTGCACAAAGTGTATCAAATGGCAAATATAAAACCTTGGACAACTATTGTGTAATATATTTTTATTAAGTATCTTATCTTTGTTATTCTGCTTTGAAATTTATTTATATTTAAACATAGAACCATTTCACTGTGTTTTATGCAAACAGTGCTCTTTGATCCTATTTTCTTTAAACTATGATCAAATGAAATAATGTTTTTTTTTTCTTTCATAACAACAGGAAACATGACTTTGCGGGTACCTAAGGTTTGACCAATGGGGAAAATAACTTTTGCATCTCGTATATAAGTTGANGTGGAAAGTGGTTTGAAGAAAGTGGCTTCAAAAATCAATTCAATGGTATTTCACCCATAAAATGCATTAACAAGTTTAAAATGTTCTGAAATATTTTTGGGAAAGTGTATATCAAAGAAAAGTTCGTTCAATAGAAAATTCAGTTCATTATTTGGAAGTATATTTCATTTTACGAAGAAATTTCCAAAATGTTCTTGGTTCCTCGAAAAAATTCGCAAAATAGAGAAATTTGTTAAAGGGAAGTTCGTTAAATAGAAGTTAGACTGTAACATGTTTAGCTTTAGAATATAATGTTTTTATTAAATAAAAAATGTTTCAATATAGTTTTTGCACAAAGTGTATCAAATGGCAAATATAAAACCTTGGACAACTATTGCGTAATATAGCTTTATTAAGTATCTTATCTTTGTTATTCTGCTTTGAAATTTATTTATATTTAAACATAGAGCCACTTCACTGTGTTTTATGCAAACAGTGCTCTTTGATCCTATTTTCTTTAAACTATGATCAAATGAAATGATGTTTTTTTATTTTCTTTCATAACAGGAAACATGACTTTGCGGGTAGCTAAGGTTTGACCAATGGGAAAATAACTTTTGCATCTCGTATATAAGTTGATCACAAGATTATAATTTAGCAGCTGAAAAGACTGAATATTTCTAATATTATATACGTATACATACATTTCTTCGCCTCAAATAAATATGCTTATGAGGCATTTCCATAAAGAAAGATGCAAATAAAATAATGTAAATCAGATTAAATTTTTTGAAATACTCTTGAATTAAGTATATTAACTTTTCTCAATTTTTTTTCAGAACATAACTTATAGGGTATTTTTTAGAAACAGTACTTTATGTGTAAAAAAAATACGATGAGAGAAAAATGCAAAAATTGATTGTATGTATTATGTTAATTAATTGAACATAATTTTGGTAATAGGTACTACTGGTGTTATGGTAATTAGCGCTCTTTTAATAGGTACTAAATATAGATTCCAAGTTACCTACTACAAGTAAAAAGTTTATTACATCCTCTCCAAATATAACAACTACAGTGAAAATTGTTTAAATTATGAAGTTGGCTGTGAGCACTAGTTTCATGTCAAATGATACTGAATATATTGACAAAATAAATCGTATAACATAAAATCACAACAGGTAAATTGCTTCCGAGCAAGACAGACCTTTGAAACTCTTTACTCTTCTTCGGATTTTCAGCACCTTTTGCAATGACATAAAGAAAATCTTCTGTTAGCACAAAGGGTACTCTTTCCCGATTGATGCCAAATTTTTTCTTGAAATGTCCCAAAAAGTGTCCAAAATCAATATGAAAAATCTATTAAATAAATAAATAATACTACATTATAAAACAGACATTTATTAGTTCATAATACTTTTAAAATTGATCAAATGCCTCCATTCGGAAAAGATTATTTATAAAAATGTGGGAGCCTTAAAATATTTCATTCACCATACATGAAAAATTAAGTTGTCCCTCTGAAATTTTTCAATTTCTAATAAGCAGAGATGATAGTGCTCCGGAAAGATCAGAATTTCCGGTTTTTTCGCTAACCGTTATCCGGAAATCCAAGGTCCAGAAAGTTTCAAGAAATCATCAATCACATTTATTGATAAAAATTCCTGTGTATTTTATTTAAAAATATTTGAACTAGAATTTACACTTGGCATCTCTTTCATTTGTAAATATTTTTTCTGGTAGAATAATAAATGTGATTAGAGATAAAAGTAAACTTATACATAATAATTAATTTAAATTATGCTGTATATAATTTATTTAGAGTTTCATGTTTTGAAAACATCAATGATTTTAATTTGCAAAGACATTACTTTTTTGAAATGCGTCATTAATGATTTTACTCAAGAAATTTTCAGGACTTTTGAGTTGGGCTCGCAATCACCCCTGATCAAGAATATTTGAGACATCCCTGGCTCAGAAACAATGATTTGATTGAATCTTTGCGACAGCAGAATAATGCACTGACATTAAATATTCTCAGAGATAAAAAGCCCTTGATGTATCCTCCTTTACGCAATGCAATCAAGCAAATATGCTTGGAGTCTTCTGAGTTGAGTTGCCTGTATAATACAAGTTATAAAATAATAAGTATATCTTAAAGTACTGAAAATATTCCTATAACATAGAATCCAAGTGTTGACTATAAGAAACTTGAGTTAAAAATCACATAATTAAAATTTTCACATTTACTCTTCCCAAAATGTTTTGCAATAAAGGGTTTCTTAATCATCTAGAGTATATATATTTTTGAATTTATACAACAACACTATTTATAAAGTCATTTTTATGTAACTTCAGCGTAATGTATCTCAGAAAAAGAATGTTGCATATTTATTAGTCAGACAATGCAGGCTGCCAATTTTAATGTCTATTTGTCACAGCAACAGCCCTATCTCAGATCGGGTTGTTGTTGCTGTGGAAGATAATGAAACAACTATATATAGAATGTACAGATAGGCCAGTTATTAGTAGGACTGTTGGTCTGTCGCGGCGCGAAATTGTCCTCTTTTTTTCTAAAATCCACAAATTTCTCAATATATTTGCGCAAAAATTGCTTAAAATTTGATTTTTTTTTCACTTTTAATTTATTATTTTCATTGAACAGAATTTTTAACTTTCCTGAAGTCTTAAATTGAACATGTAAAATTGATTAGATATTTGGAGGAGTGAATAAATAGAAAAATGACAAGAAAATAGTTCAGAGATAAGAGATAATCCCCATCTTGTCATGTAAGGTGGTCTTTCTACACTTAAGGAGGGTGATAGACTGATAGGATTACCTTCCTGAAGTCAGTAAGAGTACAAAAGAAATTGGAACCACAAAAGAGGGAAAATGTCATGAATCAAACGTTAGACATAAAAATTGTTACACAGGCTATTGCACTGGGCAATGAAATTTCTACTACCTTTGTACATATCCAGACAATTTCTCCTCTGGGCGGCTTCCTGTGATTTCTTAAATAGGGGGTCAGTTTCTTAGAGGAGAGGGAGATAAGGCTTTTGTAACTAGTATTTTAAATGAAGAATGTTTGAATTTTCACAGCACAGTAGGGGGAGGGGTTCCTTGATATTTTGTTGACCAGGCCTTTGTGTTTAGAAACATGTGACTTTGTCACAAAACGAATATTTGAAGCCGTTCTTATTTATTGGTCTGATAGCAGGAGAGTTTGAAAGAACGATTTCTAGGATAAGCATAGTTTATATTTTAAAAGCTAGTCCTATTTTTTTTTCAAACCCTGCTGATGTAAGTTTGCTAGTTAAAAAAAAATGAGACATACGAGTACAGCAACTGCTTTTGAGCGATGTCAACAGTTCAAAAAAGGAACTTTTGAAGTTAGAAGAAACCTGTTATTTTGTAGCACATGCAATGTTCCTGTTGATTTCTCAAGAAAAAATAGCTGCGATAAACACTTGAAAAGTAAGATTCACCAAAAGAAGATTGCTGGGGAACCGAGAGTAATTCAAGCAAGTATTACTTCCCTGTTTGAAAAAAAAAAAACTCTTCAAGAGCAACATCGTGCTGTGAAGATTTCTAAGTTGGTTGGTTGGTGTTTTTGCTGTAACAAACATTCCTTTGCATAAACTTGATAATCCGGTATTAAAGTTATTTAGAAAATTCACTCAAAGACATAGGCGTCATACCAAGCTCCAGTCACCTACAAAGCCACTATCTACCAAAGACTCACAAATTTCACAAAAATCAAGTTGTAGATGTTCTAACATCTGCCGCTGGTGTTAGTATTGTTACAGATGAAACAACAGACTCTGAAGATAGATATATTTTAAACGTGTTAGCTGTTCCATCAGTAGAAATACAAAACGACGATTCAAACCTTTCTTTGCTTTCATTTTATCTTAAAAGTATTGCGTTAGAATGTGTGAATTTTAAATCTGTCAGTGAAGCAATTATTCAGTGTTGCCAAAATTACAGACTTTGCTTTAATGCTATTACATCTTTTGTAACTGACAACGCATCTTATATGAACAAAGCATGGGGAAAAAGCTTAAAAGCTGTTTTTCTAAATTCTGTTCATGTTACTTGCAATGCTCATCTTTTAAATCTCTTGGGAGAAATATGGCAAAATGAGTTTGAAAATGTAAATAGCTTTGCAGTTCATATCAAGTGCGCATTCACAGCGTGCCCTTCACGTAAAGGTCGCTTTCGAGCATTTTTGATGGAAAGGGGCAAAAAAAGATTCTTTACCACCGGTTCTTGTGCAAACTAGGTGGAATAGCTGGTTTGAAGCTTGTTTATTCCATGTAAATTATTTCGATATGCACGCTGAATTTTTTGATAAGGAAAAACAAAATAGTAGTAGCTCAGTTTTAAGCACAATTTGTGAAGAATTTCATGATTCAAATTTGAATACAGATTTAAAAGAAATTGAAAAATATGCTCCATTAATTTTGAATCAATTAACTTTATTTGAGAAACAAAGAATTAGTTCCCATATTATTTACAACGAAATGTATGATTTATCAAAAGTATTGGAAAGCAAATTAAAACGCTGTGAGCACTTAAAATCAAAAAAATGCTCTAAGACTGTGTGAAGAAAAAATTAGAAGCTATTTTTTTTAAAGCAGCAGCGATAAACAAAGATTTCGCCAGCCAGCCTCAAACTTTTTCAAAGGATGCCGAGTTTTTGATCCCTGTCAATATAAGTATTTTAAATGAAGAGGACAATTCTTCAGTTTTTGAACACATCCCAATGTTTGAGGATGACGAAGAGTTGATAAGGGAATTTAATTCTTACAAAGCAACGGTAAAGGAATTGCACGTTGATGAAGGAAAATTGATAGAGTTTTGGAAATCAAAGACAGAACGATATCCAAAATTGGCAATTCGATGTTTGTCGGTGCCTACAAACAGTGTTGACGCAGAAAGATCGTTTTCCAAGTTTAAAAATGTACTAAGTGATGAAAGACGTAGTATAAATGAGAATAATCTGACAATGTACAATACTTTGTACCAAATTTCTGTCATTTAAATAAAAATATTAGTATTGCTTGAAATTAAATAAAAATACTTTTGTTGTGTATTTTTTAAGCTTTTTTTATTATTTGCACAATTTCTGTCTTTTGCATCATTTATATGGTAAATTTTTTTGTGTTTAGAATATGCGTAATTTTAAAAATTTCCAGCGAATTTCGGGTATTTTTTCCCGCGACAAACATGCAGCCCTAGACATTAGCAAAAGATATTGTACAAAAAAAAAGTCTTTTTTTTTTTTGAGTAATGCTACATCTTATTAGGACCAGTAAACTGTTAAAAAAAAAAACTAGCATTAAATCCCAAGATTTATTTTGCAGGGTTGCCACAGAAAAAAAAGAACAAAATAGTTGCCTAAATAAGAACAAAAATTCATCAAAAATATGACTAAAATTTTGTTAATGACTTAATTGTCATGTACCATGATCCATTCAGTCAAGTTGGTGGCAAATATGATAATTTTTATATAAACGTAAATGTTTATATATATATGAAAAGTGATTACTCAAATTCGAAATTTACGCATCGCAATATAATATTGAATTTATTTATTTTTTAAATCATGCAGAATCTTGTAGCAATAATCACTGAAAAGGCGATCGAGAAATGAAATAGACTTACAATGGAGTCGGTGCGGATTGAACAAATTAAAAAGTAAAGACCCAAATTTGCAATATTTTTTTTAAAGAAAAAAAAAGGTTCAGCTTGTTCAGAAACTATCTTGTGGGGTGCAGAGTTTCCACCCAATTTATGCCTTTAAAAAAATTAATAAATAAACATCGCTATGAGTACAGAAAAGTCTTCCAATTATCTCCTTCTCCTCAAAATAGTTGCTTTTTTTAGCCCTTTCCGGCAAAAAAAAGTTGCCATAGTCACCTCATACCAAAAATAGTCGCATTTTAGTCGCCTGTGACAACCCTGATTTTGGCATAGACCAGCTCAGTACCTTTCCGCTAGAATAAGCTTGGAGAAATGCTGTGATAGGACAACAATCACAAGAGCCTTTTCTCTCTCTGATATCAATATCTAATAAAATAAAATTTAAAAAAATTTCAAGAGAGTTTGCAATATAGTGAAAACTTACCTGCCCCTGTTCATTAACCATAATGTTATCTGGATTACGATCACCTATTCCCAAAACAAATGTAGCAACACAGTAACCAGCGCACGATTGGGTGAAAGTTTCAATTGCTTGCTCATACCTGTTCAAAATTAAATGATTCTCTGATTAACAGTTATTATCAAATTAGAATAATAAATATACTATACTACATTTGAGAGGTATAACCATACCTGCCAACACTGGAGAAATAAAATAACGGAGATTTTACTAGCGAAATTTTTTGGGCTACAAGTAAAGTTTTGATACATCATGCATAATCAAGTAAGTCAAAAAGATAAATTCAAAATTGGAAATAATATAAGCACTTACATTTAGCGAAATAAAAAATATGTATATAAATCTTAATCAAAATAAGATTTTTATAATTACGATTGTTTATTGTGATGATTACTTATAATTACTAAACACTCAACACACTGTAGTACTGGCAATAGCACCATCAGTTAAGAAATAAGAGAAGTATTTTTTTCATTAGCGGATATTTTATTGCCAAAAATATATATTTAAATTTCTTCAACAAATTATGGAGAAATTTGAGAATATACAGGTAAACAGGAGATAGTCGTAAAATACACGAGTCTTCGTTAAAAAACAGGAGACTTGGCAAGTATGTATAACAAAAATTAATAAAAAATGAGTGAATTCTATAGGCTCAAAATATGACATTGAATAGAAAGATTCCTCTCTTTGTATGTCCCAACTCTCCATAGTGACAGTAACCTATCTTTTCTTTCTTTCTTTTTTTCTACCTTTGCTGCTTAATAAGAATATGTTGTGAACATTCTTATGCCTAAAATTTTTTGAATAATGTTTCCATTGAAACACCTTAATAGCTTCTAATAATCGTATATATAATAGCTTCATATCGTATATCGTATAGCTTCTAATAACCGCTCTTGGCAGACTTTCTGCGAAGCGCAAAGGTTACGAAATACTATAGTTGCAACCTTAATGCTATCCGCATGGTGAGTCAGGGGAAGAGGCATTTGGTCATTTGAAGCTCACTTCCCTGGATGATATCATCCGGTAGAGTAACTGTCGATGTGCGGCCAGTGGGAACTTCTGAACACAATAAAAAATTTCTTTTCATTTGCTTTTTGTTTAAACATTTTTCTTTTCTTAAAATATTTAATTCAAACTTATATTACTCTATAAAATGCGTATATATACATATATTTTTGCACTTTCATACTGTAAGCTTCTTTTTAGTTAGAATTTATATCCCCCTCCCAATACTTATGTATATATATAAATATTTGATGCATTAATTGTAAAAAATAGAAAAAGTTTTTTTAAAAAATGTACCAGTTATTTTAGCTTTAAATAAATTCAAGTAATTAAAAGTATTTAACTTTCTGAAAATATGTTAAGTTTACTGATAAAAATATTGAGTGCTTAGAACACTAACGTTTAGATAAAAATTATCATGTTTGCGGCTAACACGACTAAATATGGGTGCGGCCCTATCGTAGAGAATGAATATCTTTACAAAAATCCCTCAACTGGTTGCAGTAAGAATGACTGGGAGGCCACCAAGATCTCTAATGAAAAAGTTGCATGGGCTATTAAATCTTATAAGACCTATAAATCGCCCGGTATGGATGACTTCATGCCTGTTGAAGGAGATTGAAATATGAGCTATTCTACGCAGGATCCTTCGAGCCTGTATAGCCCTTTGGGTATGCAGTGAAACCTCCTGTTATGGACACTCCTGCAAAACGGACGCCTCTCAATACGGACATATTTTTAATTTCCCGGGAATCTTCTATGAATAAACCATTACGCACATTCTCCGCAAAGCGGACGCGGACAGTCATTTTGGTCCTGAAACGTTGTTTTTAATCTCTACAAACCGGACACTACTTTTTCTAAATAAATTGCAAGCTAAAAAAATTCAACTTTTCACCATTTTTAAAGCATGTAAATAAAACTTTTTGCCTTATCCATAACTAGAAATATTGTTAAGCTATTTCACCACCGAAAAATCAATATTTCTCCTGTCACCTTGCCTTATCTTTGTAAAGAAAGGAGAAGAGAAAATGGTACTGCTCTCCTGAAATAATTCTGATATCGGCATCTTTTGATCTTTTCATCTGGACCACACAGGTTATGAGACCCCTCAAGTTGAAATGACTTTTCTCAATGCTTCTTCCCCATTGAAAATTTCTTTAATTTTCTTATCAATTTGAAGACTGTATTTAACAGAGGTGTTATATAAATGAAAGGTGTTAGATAAAGGAGTTTATATAAATGAAACATTTATTCATACACTTGATTGATCAATTGTGAATAACTTACAGGTATGCATTACTTTTTTTTCTGTGAATCATGGGAAGTTTATTTTCCAATAAGATATTAACCATGTTCCCTATCAAATGATAAGTAGGTGTAGGGGGATGTGAACCTAATAATTGAAACAGACAGAGGACAGTAAGCTCCTATTTTGGTATCATATGTCTAACTTGAGTATCTATGCTAATAGGAAAATTATATTTATTTATCTGTAGCTACATCCAGAATTATGTATNGTAATTTTAAAAAAAAGGAGAATATACAATTTAAAGTCATAGAATAATTTTAAAAATATTACTTTGTATGCAAACTTCATTTTAACATAAATCTGAGTGAAATTTAGATATAAAAATAGTATATAAACTTTATTTTAATTGTTAAAAAGTGTAAACAATAACAATACGGCACATGTGCTACACGTTACAAATACAGTTAGAAACCCAATATAATAAACGGACAACTCTCATAAACGGACAAATTTTTTGGTCCCATTAATGTCCGCTTAACGGAGGTTTCACTGTATACCTCATTCTCGGAGGAATACCAGGGTAATTTTCATCCCGAAACCTGGTAAGGAAAATCAGCCTCACCTCTTATCTGTTGAAAGCCATTGAAAAGTTTATTGACAGATATTTTAGATACTCTGTACTCATAGATAAGCCACAGTTCTCCTCACAGCAATGCTTATCACTCTGCTCTATATGAGCGCTCTCCAACACGCTTGAGAAAACACTCTCAGATGAAAAGATTTCTCTGATGGTATTGATATCGAACGTGCTTTTGACGAAGTCCCTGTCAAAACTATCATCGAAGCACTCAAAACCAGAGGTATTAATTTGATCATTACCAAGTGGACAGCCAATTTGCTATCCTCCAGGTATGTTTGTTCAGGGTGCGTAGCCAAATATTTCAGCAAAAAATAAGCACCTTTCAAGCCCTTTGAAAAATATCATTATTAGACAGGATTGGCAAGTTTTTGACAATTGATGGTTTTATCCGACTTTATTTCCAGTGACGTAGACAAACGATGAAATTAACAAGAGAAATCAAATTTTCTATCACTAACAGAGAAAAAAAATCGACCATGCTTAGTTGGTCCCTGTAATCAGCAAAAATGAGAGATTTTTGGATTCTATTACAGAGGGCGAAAAGTGAGATTTTTGGATTCTATTACAGAGGGCGGAAAGTGAGATTTTTGGATTCTATTACAGAGGGTGGAAAATGAAGTCTGAAATTGAGAATCTCTTGCAAAATGCAGTAGGGTTGCACATGAGAGTCAAAAATCCTTACCCCTGAATCTAGCTCAGTATACACAAGTGGGGACCTGCAAGTATTTCTTCAAACATGTAAAACAAATGGTGTTTTCAGACACTACAGACCAGCGGTACCCCGAAATAGATAGGGGTTGAATTAATCTTGAAAACGTTGAATAGGACGTTTTTTTTTGTGCATAATTTGTGGATAAATCAATATGGTAAAGAAAAATATCACATTTCAGAAAAGGAAAAACTAAGCACTTTTTAAAAACACCCATGGCAAAAAGCACCTTAAATGGCTTTTAAAAAACGAAAATCAAAAATAAACACCATTAAGCACTTTTTAAAAGAGCTACACACCCTATTGTTACTCTTTACTGAGCATTAGCATGAAAGTTCATGCTACTTCAGGTAGGGGTTTTGTCCCCCATCATATGGTGTATGGTTATGGATTCCTGCCCAAAAATGCTCATTTAGCCCAAAAATGAGAGATTTCATCATTAGTAGAGGAGCAAACAACAGGAAACGACTATCACTTTACAATGAAAACAAACATTTACGGTGACAGTAGGAAATATTTTAATGTAATTTCTTTTCTTAATAAAAATGAGACATGGTTGCCTAAGCTTAACATGAAAAGTTAAACTTAGATTTTCGGTGAAAAATTATTAATCTTACTCAATATCATAATAATTACTCAACACTTTACAGTTCAATACAATAGGTGGTCTTTTGATCAGTTATGGTATGTTAATATGAATGCAGTTCTTTCATTTCATATTTACATTAATCTTCCTTTAATGTTCTTAATGTGCATGCATAGAATTTTTTTTTTGACAAGAATAATTAAATATATTAAATAGTTAAATATTTTTGTCATTCTAGTAATGTAATAAAATCATTCCATATTAAAAAAATATTATGAGCATCCAGATACTTTTGGATTGTGTTCAGCCGTAGTTGAATAATATAACGATAACTTGGGAGAAATCTTTTCTTATTTGTTATTTGTTGATTTGTTACGCATGCGCTCTGAAACTCTTGCTAACTAGAATATTTTTGCCTGCTCGTCAGTCAGTTGGATTAGCGATTTAGCAACAGCATGTTTACTTTGGCTTTAAGCAAGTTTCAGGAGCAGAGCCTTTTCCCCCCAACTACTTTGGAAGTTTGAAGTATGTTCTAATTCAGTTTTTCATTTTGAAGTTTTTAATAAATAGTTTTTTCGGTAATTTAGTTTTATTTTGTTATTCGATGGCTCATATTAGTTTAATTCATGTTAGTATTCCCCACAGATTGTGTATGCAGACACTTATTATTTTTTTTACTGAATTTTTTCACTTTATAGGGCAATTTCTTATTAAAAATATTATTAAAATATTTTTGGGATTGATTTATAAAAAGAAATTCATTCAGTGTATTACTGAAAATTAATTTGATTAAGTTTAAGGGTGGGAAGACGAGTGAGACTTTTCAATGCCCAACTCGCCCATAAATTTGGTGTTTAAAAGTAAATGAATTTATAAACATCGGAGTTTATAGCTACAAATAAACTTGATTAGAAAATGATCAAATAAAAGAGCGCACAAGAGAAAATGGTTTGGTTCTCGACACCACTTTAAACAGGGTGCGGAGCCATATTTTTTAATAAAAAATAAGCACCTTTTAAGCACTTAAAAAATATTTTTAATCACTTTCCAAAAATAAAAACATCATCATTAAGATCAGTGCAGTAATAAAAAAAAATTTTTTCTATAGTTTAAAGTTCTTAATTTATAAACATAAAATCAATAAAATTTCGAAAAATTTTCAAAACCTTTATATAATCTTGATAAAATAACATAGTTTCTGATAAATATTGCAAGGAAAATTTTGAAAATCATGCAGTTTTGTTACAATTTAGAACGACCATCGATAAGGCAAAGAAAAATCAGTTTTTAAAAGATAGAAAATGAAGCACTTTTTACAAACCCTGATTAAAAAAAAACACCTTTAAGAGCTTTTAAAAAACGTAAATTAAAATAAGCACCTTTAACAGGGTGCATAGCCAGTTTTTCAATCAAAAAATAAGCACCTTTAAAGTACTTTTCAAGCACTCAAAAAATATTTTTAATCACCTTCCAAAAAAATTCATAATTAGGATCTGTGCAGTAATAAAAATTATTTTTTTCTATAGTTTAAAGTACTTAATTTATAAACATAAAATCAATAAAATTCAATTTCATTTTCAATAACAGACAAGGAATACAAAACTTATTCTGAATGTGAGAATAACAAAATATTATTTTTAAGATTTGTGAAGGGAGAAAGACAACATACTTGGCTCCTTTATTCTTTTCTTTAATGTATTTGTGGAGTTGTGTTGAATCGACCTGAAATGCCGCCATGCGTCCACCTTTCCTCTGAATGTTCATCACAGTCTTTGCATTCCTCACAACTTCAATCATCCCCACACTCTTACCAGTAGCCAAGCAAGCGTAAGGCATCATCCTTGACAACAACAAAACATACATTTTAAACATTTTCTAAAAACCTTTAAACATGACTGGAAAATAAAACAGGGTGCATAGCCAAATCTTTGAATCAAAAATAAGCACTTTTTAAAAACTTTTCAAGCACTTTACAAAAATNTAATGCCCTTTAAATTACTAATGCCATGCTTTATATCGTTTTAAAAAAAAACACAACTATAAATCGTAACCTGTATTTATGAATTTAAAACAAAATAAAATAGTCCTGTGGCAGAATTTTATCTGGCTTTCTACGACAAACCTCTCGAGCACAATTATCTTTCTGCAAGATACTTTTAATAAAAATAAATATACATGGAAAAAATAAAACCAAAATTTTTTTACTTCATTATTCTCAAATGAGAATAGAAAAATCACAAGCACATCTTTCGAATATAATTCTGGTGAAAAAAAAAGTCTTTCAAAAATTTTTGCAGAAAATAAAGCTTATTTTTTACATCATTATTCCTTCATTTTTCATTATTCTTAAATGAGAATAGAAAATCATGAGAATTTCTTTCTCCTCCAATGCACGAGAAAGGCATGTTTTAAATATAATTCCAAAAAAAATAATAATAATTCTTCCGAAAATTTCTGCAGAAAAGAATAAGAAAGTTAAAAAACAAAGGTAAAAAATCTCTCTGCAGGAACTCTGTCACGTTCCGCGACAATGTGACCGTGTCGCAGCGATTCTGCCACGAGGTAAAGTAGTGATTTAAAATAATAAGTCATTTATGAATAAAATAAAATTTAATAAATACCCAATGAATAGAGAGTTTATTAATTTTTAGAACAGAACTGTATGTTCTTGAATGCCTCAACTATACAAGAAATATTCAATGAAAACTGTGCAGTAATTTATAAAGAAAAAAATTCACAAGCAAACTGCTCTTAAAATATCAATTAAAAATTGATTAAAAAAAGGACTAAAAAAGGAAGAAGAAAAAATTGATTTATCAAGAACCTAGTTATAAATAAAAAGATGATTTTACCTCATATCTAAACCCTCATTTTGCCAAATGCTGTCCATAATGCGTATCACTTCCAATGTTAGCATATCTTGCCGAAGATCTGTATAAAATATTTTAAATAAAGACAGTAATAAACAAATAATACTCAAAGCAAAATAAAAAATTAATTCAGTTTTAAACAGATTTTTATGATGTTTTAGATTTAATATTTAACAAAAAAATCATATCTTTTTAAAATATAAAAAAATGCGTGTTTAAAGCTTTAATTTTATGAATTAATTTTATGAACGTGTTGTGCTCCAGTGGGTACCTGGGCACTGTGGTATCTATGGAAACGAACAGGCGGATTTCTTCGCAAAGAGGGGTGCTGGGCTAAACATACAGAGCATACATCCAGCTAAAACATACAGAGATCTCCTACCACAGTATAAAGCTACATCTAAAACAAGTTTTTAAAAGAACTCTTGCTTCCAAATTACAAGGAAGAATAAAAGCCAAGAGGTGGAAAGATGACCTCCTAAATATCCCTAATGGTCCACGCCGTGAAGTTGTGGCACAGTTTCGACTCCTAACGGGCCACGACTGTCTGGCTGAACACTTGCACCGCATCGGTATTCTAAATTCACCCGACTATCCGCTCTGCAACTTGGCAGAGCCCATGAATAGGACCCACCTCCGCCGCTGAATCGTCGCTTTATTGGCAAGCCAGAGAACTTTTAGGGCAATGACTTCGGTCATTCTGTTTAGTTTATTTATTCACCTGTTTTGTCTTTGCATTTGTTTTCTGTGTTATTTCTTGTTTATGCCCTGCCATTGGAAATAAAAAAATAACAAAAGGAGAAAATAAGGTTGAAATTTAAAGAAAAAAATCGTTTTACAGGGGCTCAGAGAACATCGCACTACTGAGAGGTGGATAACTTTAATTCATATGCAATAATCGTCAAGAACATTATTGTAATAGAGGGAGTTATTGTATTGGATATCGTGGCAGTGAGAGTTCACTGTAATATTGCTTCATTTAATTTTAATTTTTTTATTTTATCAAAATATGTTCCATTGAATTTTAATTGTAAATTCATTTAACTAAATAAAAATTTTATTTTCAAATTTGTCGTTATCTTTTACTAAAGCTATTACTATAAAAAGTAAACTTTTTCATTGTTATTTTACTAAGCTATTAAAATAACAATGAAAAAGTTTACTTTTTCTTTCTCAAATTTTCCAAGCCAATAATCTTGAGTTTTGTTTTCTTTCTTTCTGAAGAGTTGATGATAAAAATGTGTACCACTCCAGGAAAGAAAGAAAAAAAACTTTGTAAATACTAAATAATAACTAAAGTAAATAATCAAAGTTATAAAAAATTATAAAAAATAAAATTAAAAAAACTTGAATTGCTGATTTATTGAATCATAAACTGAGTATTCTTACCATCTCCGTTTTTGAAGATAATGGAGTAATTTTTAAACATACATTCAGCCATTGGATCAGGATTTAACCATGCTAACCATAGTGGACGCTTTGCAGAATCCAAGATTTTACAATCTTCAACACTAGAAAAATAACAGCATTGTTGTATGAAAAGGAAAAAATATAATTCTTAACTATATCCATAAACATGTTAATAATGTCTTTCCTTCCCCTATGTTGTTGTTTTTTTTCGTATCATCCTTATAGTTTATTTTTGTCATCTTTCCAGTTTTTAGATTTTTTTTCTACATTTTTCTTAAATGAATTTCGACTGATAACTTTAATTTTAAGAACATTTCGTTCATGAATTGATTTTTTTTTAAAAATTTTACATCAATTTATAGTTTATGTTTTACAATGAATCTTATTTTAATGTTTTTCAAGATGCTTTTCCATGAAAGGTAATCATTCAATTTGAAGAATATCAAAAGACATTTGATAATACAATGCAATTCCAGTATTCTTGAATATATAACTTTTTAAACATGGCCAAAAAACAAAAAATTAATAAATTCCCATTTATATTTATCAGGTATTTATTTTATTTAGGAATTATTCATTTATTTTAATTATTAAGTGTATTTGTTTACTTAATTTATAAATACAGCCAACAATTTATAAGTTTCTTTTCCTATATATAAAAATTCTAATATTTCAAATTTTAAGAAAAGATCATTTTAAGGTCATTATTTATGGCTTTTAGGGTCTTTTTTGCATTTTAAGAACTTTCAGGTCATTAACATTCTAGCTCTGATTATATCATACCATTTGTTTGACTGCTTCCCTGATTATCCACATATATTTATCATCCCGAGAAAACTCGGGCTCAGCAGAATTTGTCGGTACATTGTTTTTATCACATTTTTAATCGGTCGGAAGCAAAAAAAAAAAAAAACATACATTTCATTAAATGGAGTACTTATATTGTGCAATCAAACTGACAGATAATTTAAATTTTAAAATTCATTTAATGCAAAAACTAAATATTTTATTCAAAATAAAAAACAATAAACAAATTAAGTTGAATCAGTTAATACATATAATGTATATCAGTTAACACATAGAGTTAATAATATGGAATTATAAATAATTCCATACAGATATTAAAATTGCAAAATTAATTCAACAATATTTCAAAATAATTGACAGGGTATTCTATACCATAAAACATCAAATTTCTAAATTGATATCTATTTCTTAAAGAAAGATTAAGTTTGTTTAGCCTTATTGTTTTCTTTCTGAGAGTCAAGAGCCAATTTCCGTTTTCTGTCTTCTTTTTGAGAGAGCTTTTTATTTTGAACTGGAGAAGATTTAGCAGTGCAGAGAGGTGGAGAATCAACATGGCTCTCAGATACACGAATAGTAGCATTAGGAACATTTTTTGAAAGAGACTGCTGATAATTCGACCAACTGTAAATTAAATTATGAGCAAATGCATGGTTTATTGGCTCATGTGCAGGATCTTTTGAACCAAATACTTCACAAGTACTGGCATTAAGAGAGGAAAGATAACATTTTGTTGTTTGAATAGAGTCTAAAGATTCAATATTAAGAGAAGTTTTATTTTACGACATAATGTCACCCATCAAATTAAAAGTACTCTCAACTGATGGTCCGTGAGAACATGTTAAAAGAACTTTAATCACCTTTGAAAGAACAGGATATTTTTTCACATTACCTTCGTTAAGTTTAATTACTTTTGACCAATACTCTATTGTAGACTTGCTTTCAAAAAAAAGCCAAAGAATCATCAGTCTGATACTGCCTTAATTCTAAGTCTAGCTTAAGTGTTTCTTGCTTTGAAATAACAATTAGCAAAAATTCTGTCAGCTTCATCAGTGCCAGAAAAGTTGTAGTCTCTCCCCTCAGAACAGGATTGAGAGCAGAAATTTAATTAACAAATGATTGCTCAACGATAACTTCTTCTGCACAGTTAGATACACACTTTTAAGAAGCCCTGAATAGTAGAATCTGTTTTCTTACTGCTATCTGCAGCATACATTCCAGAGAAAATGAGTCTATCAGGCAAATAATTTTTAGAATCCGTGGGGTCGATTTTTAAGACATCTTGATAACCTTTTAAGTTACACAAAAGCTCAAGAACTGCTTGGTCAAATTAAACATGTAGTTCATGTAAAAGGCATTCATTAGATTGAAATAATTTGTTAAAATGGGGCAAAACAGCTTGATAAACACCAATTTGTCTTTCTCTGCTCAACAAAAAGTCTTTGAATAATCCATCATCAGTGAGATCCACCAGTTTACCTTGAATATTCTGGAGACTTTTAATTTCTTCATTGGAAAAAACTTCAACATTTTCATACAATTTTTTGTCCAATCCAGCCCATTAAAAATAAAATATTATAAGAGCATGCCATAAATATTGCAAAAGTTCAAGCACACTTGAAGCATATAGAGCCATCTGTGGTCAGGTCTATTTAAGGGTTTCAATAATTTCATCTGTAGAACTAAACAAATCATCTGTAGAACTATTCCCTTTTATCAGCACTCTTGAGATCAAAATATATGTTGTCACATAAAATTTCTAAGTGATTCAAAAATAGCCCTATAAAATGTTTTGAGCAATTGTTTGCGAAATGGCATGTTTCTCCATCTATGTCCAACAAATGTGGAGCATTGATGGATCGAATTTTAGTTTCAGCACCATTTTTTTCCACACCCATTTTATTACAAAAATCCATTAATACACTTATCAAATTTGAAAATGGCAAGCCATTTCCTCTGAAAATTGAAAGAATAGTGTTATAAATGCATTCTGCATTACAAGCAGGCAATTGAATCAAAGCTAAATGTCGCAAAATCACTTTCTGCTGGTCTTCAACAAAGTATCTACAGAGTACAGCTAAAATACTCTCAGAAGCTCTATTAGTGCTCTCATCAATGTTTAGAGAGAAAAAAAGAATTCCTTAAAACTTTATATTGATTTTCTTTTATTGTTTTTGAAAGTCCATACTTTAGCTTATATGATGCTGTGGTTCTACTAATGTCTAACAAATTTAAGGCCATGGTATCACGTGATAATGTTTTAGTTAACTCCACAATTTGTGGAGCTAAAGAAAAAGGAATTGAATGTTCAGCCAAAAATGACAGAACTAGTGCTTCAGCCCCAGATTTTTGCGTGACCAAATCGACAGTACGTGATTCATCAGTATGAGTTAAGATTTTCTGATCCGGCATAAAGTGGATTTAAAATCTGGGAATTCTTAACAGATTGACGACATTTCTTATGAACAACTGTTCCAGAATGATTCATCAAGGATTTAAATCCCTCATTGAGATATTTGATTGATGTATTGCACGCAATACAGAAACATGTACCTGGAGTATCAATCTTGCGGCACCACACGTTGATTTCTTCTTCCAAGTTGTCTTTTTTAATTAACCATTCAAAACGAAATCTATTCCTGTAGTCTTTTTCCAGATCGCAAATCACATCTTTTTCTGTTAAAAACTTCATGCTTACATAAAAAATGAGATTAACGAAATGACTTAAAAAATGTATGCAGAATATACAACACAAAATGTGCATGTGAAAATCTTTCAGCAGAGAAAATTCTAACTTGTGCTGTCAAGTAGTACAGAGTGCAACTAAAATCTACAACCCTACAGCCTCTGCCTTTAATTCCAAAAAGATTCGCCAAGCAGTAAAGATTTTCTTTACCCAATCCCTCCCCGCAACAGCGTCACCTATTTCCCTTCCCCAATCCACACCCGCAACAGCGTCACGCCTTTCCCAACACAAACAAAAGGAGAAGAAACGAATTCTTCCCTCTCTCACACTTTGCACCCCCTTCCCCCACTACTGCTCCTAACCTCGGACCAGCGCCGTAAGAATCCTTGCCTAAGGGTTGCTACAAAAGAGCGTTTATCACTATTTGGCGAACTTTCTATTCCCATCCTGTTCAATTTATGATATTTGACGAAACTGAAAGATAAAGCTCCCGATTTTATTCCAGGAATGATAATACGAAAAACCCGGAATTCCGGGGTACCCCCGAACAACAATCACCCCTGATGTTAACGAAAGCTTTTAAGAATCACATTTTTTGATGCCTCTCAGTGCCACTTGCCGAAATGTGAAAAGAAAATAAAGCAAAGAAGTTTGCTTCAAGTAATAAGAAAAAATCTCCCAAAGCAAATTATCTCATGACAGAAAAGTTTTTAAGAAATAACATTTTGCATAGTAACTTTTCATATTTACTTAAAAAAAACTTTTTTTTTCCCTTTCCTCCAGACGTGGACACGTACATAGGTTTGCAAAACCCTTACCCGCATAGTCCACGTCTGGCTACCAGTCCAGCTCGCCACAACCCGGTGAGCTAGCCTGATCAGTGGGAATTTATCAGCTTCACAAAAATTGAATATTACATAATACATATAAAAATTTTTACAATAAAATTTAGTTAACAACATTGAAAGTCTTGCAGAAGACAATGAAGTGCAACACATTTGTTTAAAAGAAAAAACAATGACTGAAACAATAAATGAAGTAAAAAGAACCATGAACAATAAAAAAATGAATTTTGTTATATACATAAAAATTGAAAAACAGAAATAAAAAGAATAAAGAAAATGTACATAAATATAATGTATCATGGTAGACAAAATAAATATTTTAAATATATGAATATAGATATTTTTTATGTAAGATAATTTTTTTTTTTTAGTAGGCAGTCCATAAACTTAATGAGGTTAACATTAAAATTTTATTAATTTATCATTAATGGATAAAATATGCATTGTGTTTTTAAGTTTAGTATTTAATGTCTCGTTAGTTAGGAAGTTTTTCTGCCATTTGTATAGGTTAGATTGATTCGGCGGACGGGTATGCCAAGAGGCAGTGTAAATACATTCAGTAAGATAGTGCTCTGGAGTGCCCAGTTGGCCGCATGTACATTGATCAGTGTCAGTTATGTTTAGGAATTTGAAATATGTAGGGAAGGGACCATGTCCAGTAAGGAACCATATTTCTTGCTTTGTAGGTATGGATTTAAAGTAGTTTATTTCGGGAATAATGTTATTAAGTCTTCGGCTTTTGTCGATATTATTCCAATATATTTGCCAGCCTTTATTGATTGAAGTTTTGAGTTGTTTCCTGAGAAAAGAAATAGGATACGGATAGAAATAGTTTTGTTTATTAGTTGTGGATAATTTGGCCAGGGCATCTGCTTGCTCATTACCTTGTCTGTTTTGATGAGCTTTAATCCATGAAAGTTGTATATTAGTCTTAGATAAGAGTCTTTGGATTTTAATCGATAGTTTATTATTGGTACAAGAATTTTTCAATGAGAAAAGAGCCAATTTCGAATCTGACCAAATAGTATATTGTTGAGTATTGTTAAAATAATTTTGTTTTTTAATATGTAGAATGCATTCAAGAATGGCTAGTAATTCAGCTTGGAAGATGGAATTATTTTTGCTTTAAATTTATGTTGTAAAATACAAAGCCTGTACCTGTCTCCATTTTAGAGCCATCTGCAAAGTAATTACGCATATTTAGATGTTTAAAATTATTGTTTTCTTTAAGATTTATTACATTCTTTAAGTAGTTTGAAGGATAAAAGGCGGGAATTGGTTGCTTAGTATCAAAATCATTGTAACAATATGTTATATTATCATGAATTATGTCCTTTTTAAGTTGAGTAAGAGATGCCAGGCTGGAGATCAATTCAATCTGTTTATAAAGAGGGGGGATACCACAAAGAACTTGGAGTGCGGCTGTGGAAGTTGAATGGTAGGATCTGAAGATATTTAACAGAAATTTCCATTGGATTGTTTCAAGGGCTCTCATAATTCTTGGGGACATATTGCTTGCCCAAACACAGGATCCATGAGAGAGGGAATATTGGCATTCAGTTAAATGTTTACAGGACGCATTTAGCCAATGAAAAGATTGTATTTGAACACACGATACGCTTACAAAAATACGGGCTTCTTATTGCCTTCATCCAGTCATCGTCATTACGAAAATTTAGCTGAATTTTGCTTTAATGTCAGCAAGGATATGAATTTTTCACAGCTAGGTGACAAAGTTAACAATCAGAAAACTTCATTCGGCATGACGGCCACAGAATTGTCAGAAAATCAATAAAATGGACAGTCTGACCATTGGATGAGGGGGGGGGGG